GTACTACTACTACTACTACTACTACTACTACTACTATTATTACTACTACTACTACTACTACTACTGCTACTACTACTACTACTACTACAACTACTACTACTACTACTACTACTACTACTACTACTAGCTACTACTAGCTACTACTACCTACTACCTACTACCTACTACCTACTACCTACTACTACCTACTACTACGACTACGACTACTACGACTACGACTACTACGACTACTACGACTACTACTACTATTATTATTACTACTACTACTACCACTACTACTACTACTACTACTACTACTACCAGTTCTACTGCGATGCGAATAATGACAGTCGTAGGGAGGATACGGACGCGAACGGTATGATTAATTCGTAAATCTTTGGCAAGCGTGGTAATAATGACAATGGTACTAATAGTACCAATAATCATTGTATCATTTGAAACAAAAATAAGAAGAAGCAATTGCAACGAATCCTAAAACGAACGCAGTATTATTATAACAAAACAACAATTATACTTCTACCACTATTAACGAGAAGGTGTTCGAAAAGGGGGTGAAAGGGGGGATGGGGGGGAAGGGGCTTGTTCTAAGAAAAGGGGGGTCGAGGGTGGGGGGAGGGGGATGAGGATGGGGGGGGGGGGAAGGGGGAGGATGGTGGAGGGGGGGGGGAGGAAAAGGGGGGGGAGTCGAGGAGGAGGGGGAGGAGGAGGAGGAGGAGCAGGAGGAGGAGGAGGAGGGGAGGGGAGGAGGAGGAGGAGGAGGAGAGGAGGGGGAGGAGGAGGATGACGATGAGGGAGGAGGAGGAGGAGGGAGGAGGAGGAGGAGGAGGAGGAGGAGGAGGAGGAGGAGGTCGAGGAGGGAGGAGGTGGTTTGAGGATTCGGGGGTCGAGGTCGGGGGGCTGAGGGTCGACGGCGTGTGCGCCCATCCTGGGCCCGCTGTTGGAGGAAGGGCCGGGGCTTGCGGCGGGTCCGAGGGGTCGAGGCGTGGAGGATTTAAAGGAACAAGGGGGTTGAAATATCGCGAGATCGAGGGAGGGATCAGCGATCGGTGAATCCGAGGATCTCTTTCGCCATGAGATCGAGGACTCGAGGATCGATCGCCGAGGCTATTCTTGGGGTTGGTCGGCCCCCCTGTCGGGCCTCGGGGAGTCTTCGTCGCCGCGGCTAGGTTCCCTCCAGTATTCAGGCCAGGTCGAATTCCGAGAGAGCTCCAGGGGCTGAGTGTCAGGGTCTCCATGAGGGAACGGGTCAAGAAGGACGTAAGCTGTTCATTTTGTTTTTGTTTTGCCGTTTTCGGACCGAGGCGACTCAGGATCAAAGGCCGGGCCCAGGGAGTTCCGTGAGGTCCAGGGGCCGTTTCCTTCAGGACTCCTTTCCATCATCGTGCCAACAATCAATTCCTGGGCCCAGAAACGGCCTGTCGTAATCGTTTGTTGTCCCCCAATCCCCGAGTTCCGCGTGAAAACTTTGGCAGCGTAGAATAAGGGGGGAAGCCCTGGGATACACCCCGAGTGGGTGACCCGGACGCACCCTTGATCGAGGGTGGACGCCCCCCCCCCCCGGTACATCCCGGGGTTGGCCCCGAAGTTTTCGTGGTGCAATCCAATGCGCCACGAAGTCCGGGACAGGGGGCGGCAGATCCCTTGTGGGCCTGGTCGGGATCGTCGGGGTCCGTCAGGAGCTGGCGCCCTCCTCCCGTGGCGCCCGTGTGCGTGAGAGGGCAAGAGCTCCAGGCTCGGGCGGTGCGCCACTCAGCTACCGCCTCCGTGGCCACAGCTTCCCGGCAGCCTTCTGGAACGCTCTGAGCAGGCCGCGGCGCCCGAGGCATCGTTCAGAACCGCAGGATATCAAAGATTCTAGATGCTCCCTCACCCGAATTTATCCTCGCCTGGGCTTCGTTCTACTTTTGCCCGTAACAGGGGACGTGCTACGGTCAACCCGCGTAGTAAGGATGAGCAACTTTGCAAGGTTACCCTTGCATCTTTCCCTTTCGGCCCATCCTCGGCCGCTTTCGCTTGTCGCGTCCCGCCCGCAAAGTGTCGACACGGTCCTCCAAGGCCGTTGCATCCTCATCGTGCGTCCTTATCGTACGGGTTGACTGTACCTCCGCGACGCCCGTCTTCTCCCCTTCTGCCCCCGACAGGCGATTCCCTATTTATCCTTAGCCGAATTTATCCTCGTGCTGGCTTCGTCTTACTTCTGCCCTTGGCAGGCGATGCAGAAGGCCCTGCTGTCCGCCGAGATGCCGGGCGACGCCTGGCAGCGCCTGACGGTGCATGAGCGCCGTGCGCCCTTCCGTCGTCCTCGTCCTCGTTGGCCCCTCGCCCTGTCGCCTCCCATCCGCTCGCTTCCCGCCTCACCCCCTTCGACGAGCAAAGGCGTGACGACGATGTGCACGATGAGCTTGACGATTCTGTTTTTATGTTGACCGTGTGTCCCAAGCTGTCTCTGACCCACACGTCTGCGCAGGCGCCGTGCTCCCACCTCACCCCCCCCTACTTCTGTTGCATCCTCTCTCCCGTGCTCGTTTTTCTGTGTGTTTGTTTCCTCCCCAAGGTAACGCTCGTTGCCTGGGCCCCCCCCCTGCCCCGGGTAACGCCAGCGATCGCACTGGGGGGGTGGCCGGGACCCTTCGTTCTGTCGTCGGCGTCACCCCAACATGCTGGTACTAAGTGTGTGTCGTCCCACCCCAGGGACGACGAACGCTACGAGAAATCTTACAGTATATGCGTCGTGGCGGGCGCTTTCTGGCGTACCGCTCGGGAAACGATATGCAACAAGATGGCTATACTTTATGTTCGGGTCGGACGCACGCCTCTGAGGAGGATATGTAGCACTAGTGCGTCCTTGTGCGTCCCATGTCGTCTTTCATCCTCTCGCCTCCCACCTCACCCTCACTTCTGTTGCATCTTCATGTCCGAATAATTCCCCAAACGGTCCTTGCACTTAGGGGCTCTTGCTTCCCTTCTGAGGAGCTGGGCCCGTCAGTTGGCCCGGCGGGCTTGTTCCCGTCCGTCGCCGCCTTTTTTCCCCATGAATGAATAAAAGGCCTGTCTGTTGGCCCGCGTTCCCGTTCCCGTCCGTGGTCGCCACCCTGTCGCATCCCCCCTTCTCCCGTTCGCATCGCACACTCTGCATCGTTGTGTATCGCTTTGCATTGCATTGCTCTGCATTGCTTTGCATTGCTCTGCACTGCTTTGCACTGCTTTGCATTGCTCTGCATTGCTCTGCGTTGCTTTGCATTGCTTTGCATTGCTTTGCATTGCTTTGCATTGCTCTGCATTGCTCTGCATTGCTCTGCATTGCCCTGCACTGCTCTGCACTGCTTTGCACTGCTCTGCACTGCTTTGCACTGCTTTGCATGGCTTTGCACTGCTCTGCATTGCTCTGCATTGCTCTGCATTGCTCTGCATTGCTCTGCATTGCTCTGCATTGCTCTGCATTGCTCTGCACTGCTTTGCACTGCTCTGCACTGCTTTGCACTGCTTTGCATGGCTTTGCACTGCTCCGCATTGCTTTGCATTGCTTTGCGTTGCTCTGCATTGCCCTGCATTGCTCTGCATTGCTCTGCATTGCTCTGCATTGCTCTGCACTGCTTTGCACTGCTCTGCACTGCTTTGCACTGCTTTGCATGGCTTTGCACCGCCTTCCATCTATTCGAAAGGCTGGCGTCACGTCGCCGAACCCCAGAATAGGGATGACGTAAGTCCACGAGTGAGGCCTTCTGGGGCCTTTTGTTGGGACCCTCTGGGGTGGAGGGTTTCTCCGAAGGGCTTAGGCGACCCCTCCTCCTCCTCCTCCTCCTCCTCCTCCCTCCTCCTCCTCCTCCTCCTCTCCCTCATCGTCATCCTCCTCCTCCCCTCCTCCTCCTCCTGCTCCTCCTCCTCCTCCTCCTCCTCCTCCTCCACCTCCTCCATCCTCCTCGGGTCGCCTACGGCCCCGGGGGAAGCCGTGCACTCTGGGGGCCTCTTCTGGGCCTCTTCGGAGCTTCTGCGGGCCTCTTTTGAGAGAGCTCCGTGGGCGATGGCTCGCGGCCTGTCCTCGGGTGTCCTGCTCTTGGGGCGGAGGGCTCGAACCGTCGGCTCGAGCTGCCTCCCCTTTGGCCCCTCATCGGGGCCCCGTTGGGCCTCTCTTGGGTTACGTCGGGCCTGCCCTCTACAGGAGGAAATGTTCAAACATTGCCAAGAACAGTATGGAATCGATGCTTGACATGTTTTGGTCATCTTGGAGTATTTTTAGTGAATATTTCTTTTTGGTCCAACATCCCCCTGTAGGAGGGCATGCCCGACCTAACTCTTGGGCCATCTTGGGCGCCTCTTGGGCCGTCTTGGGACCCTCTTTGGTCGTCTTCGGGCCCTTTTGAGGGTTTCTTGGGCCGTCTTGGAGCGATCATGGGGGCCTCTCGAGTCGTCTTGTATGCTGTGGAGACCTAAAGTGCGAATCTGTTCAAGTTCTGTGTTTTTCAAGTGGATTTTGACGATTCTTGCTTCTTGGGGCCCTCTCGGGGGTCGTCTCGGAGGCCCCTTCGGGTTTCTTTGAGGCCTCTTGTGCAGTCTTGAGGCTTATCTTGGTCGTCCTCGAGGACTCCTGTGCGTGCAGGAATCCTGCTTGCGCAAGCGTGGATCGATCCTTCGGCATCTTGTAGGCCGCAGAGTGTAGAGATGGAGGCTCCGGAGGCCCTCCCACCCTCTGATCGCATGTCAGACCCCGTGGGAGGGGGAAATGGGGAGGGAGACAGCCAATCGTCTCACACGCCTTTGCACCCTCTGCAGGCAGAAGTCGGCGGATTTGCATTGCTTGCTTGGCGTGGCTCTGTATTGCATTGTCTTGCTTTGCATGACACTGCTTTCCATTGCTGTTCGTGGCTTTTCGTTGTTGTACATTGCTTCGCCTTGCTCTACGTTGCTCTGCATTACTTTGCATTCTTTTGTATTGCGTTGCATTACGTGGCTCTGTATTGCTTTGCCTTGCTTTGCATGACACTGCTTTGCATTGCTTTTTATTGCTTTTCAATGTTTTGTATTTTTCCGCCTTGTTCTACGTTGCTCTGCATTACTTTGAATTGCTTTGGTTTGCTTTGCATGGCTTTGCATTGCCTTGCAATGCTTTGCACCAAACAGATTGCAGCACATGGATTGCACCACCTAGACCGCACCGCACAGCTTTCGAGAAATCACTGTTAGGGGTCCACGCTGGCTAACCTTATCGAAGACGCCTACGGCGAATCACCGCCGCGCCCTGCCTTTTTGGAAGCGCCTGTGTGGCCGAAGGTTGTGGCCAGAGGCCTGCCAAGCTATCGGACCATGTGTTCCCCGAATCGGTTTGGAAAGCCTTCGGGGAACACGTGGGCATCTTGAAGGTCATCTTGGCCGCCTGGAGGCCATTCTGACCCTTTCGGGCCTTCTTGGACGACGTCTTGGAGGGCTCTTGGGCCGTCTTGGAGGCTATATTGAGCTTCTTGGAGACCTCTTGGGCCGTCTTGGGGGCCTCTTGGGGCCGTGTCTTGGGCCTCTTGGGCGATCTTTGGGGGCACTTGGGCCGTCTCGGGCCGTCGGAAGGCAGAAAAAAAACAAATGCCATAATCCTTCAAAAACCCATGGCAAATCAATGATTTTGGCCTTTTCGGGCCTTCCTGGAGGGCCCTCTTGGACCGTATTGGGCCACGCCCGCCCTCTTCCTTCTCCTCCTCCTCCTCCTCCTGCTCCTCCTCCTCCTCCTCCTCCTCCTCCTCTTCCTTCTCCTCCTCCCCCGCCAGGACCTGTTCAGCGAGGGCATCAAGGCCGAGGGGAAGGCCTTCCACTGCGGCTACTGCGAGGAGGCCGTGGCCGACGTCCCCGCGCACCTGGACCCCAGCACCCGGACCTGCGCGGCGGCTCTCGTGCTCTCTCGCGGTGGCTTCGCGCCCCTTGGGGCACCGCGCTCCGTCGGGCCTCGGGGGCGCGCGTGCGGGCGCTCCTGGTCCGAGTCCAGACACAGTCAATCCGCATAATCAGGATGGGCATCCTTCCCAAGGGTACCCTTGCATCGTTGCCTCCTCGGTGCATCCTTGGCCACTTTCGTCGGCCGCGCGCTCCGCTTGAAAAGCTTCGAAACGGGCGCCCAAGGCCCTTGCGCCCTTCTCGCGCATCCTGATGACATGGGCCGTTTGTACGCCGATTCCAGTGTAGGCGTGGGAGTCCAGGCCACCGGAAAGGTGGTCGAAGTAGATGGGGTCGGCGAACGCCCCCGCATCGCCGATGCACCCGGGCCCGCCCCCCTTCTTGTCCGTCCCGACGCCGCCGAATGCCCGCGTGGCTCGATCTCCCCCCCAGCCCACTGATTCGGACCCGTTTGGGCGTCCTCCAGGGAAGGCGCCAGAGTGGTACTGCAGGCCCACATACATGTTTCGAGGGACGTTGCTACCCACGCTGAGGCACTGACGGTCGAAGCTTTCGCTTGTCCAGTATTTCGTATCCATTATTTTGGCTACGGCTCCGCGGCGATCTGGGAGGACCCGCTGCAAGATTCGGCTCGGTCTTCCGGTCTGAAGGGTGTCTGGCACGGGTCCGCTCTCGAGCGGGTGCCCACGTGGCGAGCGCGAGGCCGCCCGACGTCGGAGGGGCTTCGGAGCGCACCGCATTCACGGGCAGGGAAGCTGGGCCTTCGGCGCCAGCTCCGTCGCAGGACAGCTGCTGGTGCCTCGGACGTGGACTCCCCCGCCCCGCCCCTGGCTCACCTGCCCGACGCCTCCTCGGAGGCCGGCAGCTCAGCATCGCCCAGCCGATCCCTTTGCCCAGCTGGGTCACGGCGCCCCATCGCCCCATCGGCCCACCCCCAGGTGGGGCCGGGCCCCGCAGCACCCGGAGGGAACAGCACTGGTGCCCCCACCCGGGGGGGGTCGGGGGTGGATAGAACCCCCAACAGTGACACGTCGATTAGTGAATTGTCCGTTTTCGGTTCTCGAGAGGGCGCCGTGGCCGTTATTTTCCAGGCTTGCGCCCACCAGGTTTGGGCCTCAGGTCGTTTTCGCTAAACCACGTTTTACCAAAGGGGGGTCTGTCCATCCCCGAGGGGGCCAGCCGGCCCCCCGGGGCCGAGGGCATTGCCCCCTGGGGACGGGGATCGGCGCAGCGGTGCGCAGCAGCCGAGGAGGGAGCGGCCGGAGAGGGGCGACCTGGGCCGGGCGGGGCCGGCCGGCCTTCCCCGGCGCAGGCCTCGGCTCCCCCGTGCCGCCCCGCCCGCTGGAGCGGCTTCCCCGCGCGCGGGCGGCTCGCGCCACGCCCGCCTCGCGCCGGGAGCAGCCGCCTCTGTCACAGCTTCGCGGAGGTTCGGTGCGGTCGGAGCGGGTGCGGAGGGGATGGGCACGGTGCCCCACAGCGGTGCCTCTGCACCGTGAGCAGGGCTCGCTGTCCGCGCCGCCGCCTGCCCAACAGCGACCGTTGTCGGTTTTGGACAGCGTTTGATGCTGGGCGTCTTCGGGGAACCTCGCCTGTCCCCCAAATTGGTGTCTTTTTCTGGGCCCGACGCGGGCTCGATGCGGACTCGACGCGGATTTGGCGTGGACTCGACGCGGATTCGACACGCATTCGACACGGACCCGACGAGGCCGACATGGATTCGACACGGATTCGACGCGGATAGGGCCGCGACGGGACAGACAAGGTCCCCCGAGGATGCAACCTAACATTTGATGTTGGGCATGGTACCTACTGTTTCAGCACCAATGTCGGGCGTCCGAAGATCCACAGAGGTGGGCATTGGCTTCGGCTGGCCGTGGCTGACGTTGCCTCGCGCAAGAAGCAAGCTGCATGGCGTGGCTCGACCGCTTTGGCGATTTCGTGGACTGTTTTCGTTCTGATTTCGTTTTATCAAAACGAACTGTTTTCGTGTTGATTTCGTGGACTGTTTTCGTTTTGATTGAAGACACAACGAGAGAAAACGAAATCCATACGACAACGAAAGACACTGTTTTGGTCGAGCCTTGCTGCATAGACGTGAGCTCTCGGAGGTCCGAGAGCTTGTGTGCCCGTGCTGTCTTTGTCATGCTCTTCTGCCGCTGGCTGGCCTCACCCCCTGTGGGACTGTCGGGAAATCAGCTCCTGAAGCACGCATTGTCCCGAGTAGACCCCCGACGCGCGCAGCTTCTCATGCGAGGCCATGGCCTCACCCGCCTCGCCCTTAAGGGGCCCGGGCGCATGCCCGCACAGGCGTTCTGTTCCGTTCCGTGCCCTCACCCCTTCCGTGCTCGCCGTTGGGAGGTCGGCTCGGGGAGAAACGAGCCAGTTACCGACGCAAACCATGGGCTCGTCCGTCTCGACCTTGGCGCGCAAGCTGCCCGCGCATGGTCGCGCGAAGGCGCAGTCGTTTTCAGTGTGCCGTGCCGTGCTGACGGCCCGCGCAAGCTCCCGCGCAAGGCCGCCATGCCACCTCGCGCAAGGCCCGTTTCTTTTCGTTGCTCGAGTAAATTTTGTTTCCGAGTCGTCTCCTTCCCAGGGCAGGTCATTCAACACCATGCTTTATGTCGGGCGTGTCCCCCTACAGGGGGATTTTCGACGAAAAATTGAAAGTACCCCAAAAATACCCCAAAAAGGTCAAAACATACCAAACAAATAGTTCCCAGACTATTTTGGACGTTTTTTTGGGGTAGTTTGGGGGTATTTTTTATTTTTCGTCGAGAATCCCCCTGTAGGGGGACACGCCCGACACAACACCATGCTTTGATGGTCCCAGGCTCGAGAGGCGACCTCCGCGCGCCCCCGGAAGGTGGCAGACCTCCGGCGCGGGCCGTTCCAGTTTGGACATATGGAAAGATATTAATCTTATCACCAACGTATTCTCGGGCCGGACGAAAGGAGGGGTTTGGGAAAGGGGGGGTGACGAAATTTGCTGCATGCAGCTGGTTTCGGCCTCACCGAGGGGCCCATTCCTCGATACATAACCGCCTCCGGCGCCGGGAGGCGCCGGGAAAATCGGCTACGTGAGCTGATTCTCAAACCACCCCTTTGCTATCCCCCCCTTTCGCCCGACCCGATAGTCGGAGGCCCGCTCGGCTGCTCGGACCTCTTGATCGGTGCCGGACGCCCCTCTCTGGCGCGCGGAGCGCGCAGCGGCGGCTCCAGAGGCGCCGCCACGGGGTTCCGGCCCGGATCGAAGAAGTCCGCGCGGACCTCTGGAAGGTTCGCAGGCTTAGAGCTTAACACCAACACCAAGATCGGCGGTGTGCTTCCACCGAGGGAAGAAGATCCCGATCTCGGTAATGGTGGTAATATTCTGGCTTCCAAGGTGACCGAAACATTACCACCAACACCGAAATCTAGGATCATCTTTCCCATGTGGAGGCAACCCCCTGTTCTGGTGTTGGTGCCAATTTCCAGGCCTCCAAAAGGTTGCGTTCACGCAGTGCGTTCTTCTGCGTGAGCGCCCCCCCCCTGAGTGAGGAAGGCGGCCCCTCGTGCCGGCCCGTGGCCCCGCTGCAGGTGCGCGGGCCCCGCCCTGCGCCGCCTTCTGGATGAGCGGCACCTCTCCCTCGCTTTCCCCTTTCTCCTCTTCTTCTTCTTCTTCCTCCTTCTTCTCCTTCTTCTTTCCCCCTTTCTTCTTCTTCTTCTTCTTCCTCTCCTTCGTTCGTGTCCCGTCCTGCTCCGTCCCCTACCGTGCCGCCCCTGCCGGCCCGTCCCGTCCCCTTCATGCCCGTCGCGCCCTCCTCCCCGCCTCCTGCACCCCGCTCTTCGCTTCTCCTGCGCTTTTGCACTGCCTCCCCGGACGGCGACCAGATCGCCCCGCACTCGGCGGCGAGCGAGGGGGGAAGTGAGGAGGGGAAGGCCTTCTCAGAAGGCGGCGGGACATCTCAGAGGCCCTCGCGCCTTCTGAGAAGGTTTCGGTGTCTTAGGGGAAAGCTTAGAAGACTTCTCAGAAGGCCAGGGGACTGCCCAGCCTTTGAGAAGGCCCGCCCTTTCTCACTTCCCCCCCGGGCTCGCCGCCGATAAACGGCTTCATCTGCGACGAGTTTATTCGGAAGAGCGTTCTTCCGGACGAACTTGTCCAGATGAAGCTGCCTGGACGATTCCGTTCGGATGAGCTCGTCCTCGGATGAAGTCGTCCTCGGATGAGTTCGTCTTTGGATGAACTCGTTCGGACGGAGTCGTCCGGATGAGCTCGCTTCGGAGGATTTCGTCCCGAACGAGGAGATGGGAGGCTCTCCCCCGCCCTCGGCTCCGGTCCCGCACAGGAAGGGGAAGCTGCACGTCCGCAACCGCGAGATCTGCGAAACCGCGCTGAGGGGCATGCGGGAGGAGGGCTGGAAGCTGCAGATGGAGGGCGCCGCCGGGCCGCCGCAGAAAGGGGGGGCGGCGGAGGAAGCTCGACACCATCGCGCAGTGGGTGCGGGATCGGGTCTTCATCCGTCTCGCGTGCCGCGGGAGAGTTTTTTCCCAACCCTCCCTGGTTGGGTATTCGTTTTGACTGGAGCACTGCTCGCGCGTCCTTCGCCTCCTCCCGCCTCCTGCCTCCCGCCCCCCCTTCTTCTTGTCTCCTCTTGCCTTGCCTCGGGGGGGGGCTGCGATCTGCGAAACTGTCGCCACTTTCGAGGGCTGATGGTGGGTCCAGCGGAGTGAGGTACCGCACGGACATGAGGTAGACCTCGCCGTCCCTGGGGGGCTGTGATCTGCGAAACTGTCGCCACTTTCGAGGGCTGCTGGTGGGTCCTGCGGAGTGACGAGGCACCGCGCGGACCTGAGGTAGATCTTGCCGTCCCTGGGGGGGGGGGGGCTGCGATCTGCAAAACTGTCGCCACTTCCCAGGGCTGCTGGTGGGTCCAGCGGAGTGACGAGGCACCGCGCGGACCTGAGGTAGACCGCGCCGTCCCTGGGGGGGGGGCTGCGATCTGCGAAATTGTCGCCACTTTCGAGGTCTGCTGGTGGGTCCAGCGGAGTGACGAGGCACCGCGCGGACCTGAGGTAGACCGCGCCGTCCCTGGGGGGGGGCTGCGATCTGCGAAACTGTCGCCACTTTCGAGGTCTGCTGGTGGGTCCAGCGGAGTGACGAGGCACCGCGCGGACCTGAGGTAGACCGCGCCGTCCTGGGGGGGCTGCGATCTGCGAAACTGTCGCCACTTCCCAGGGCTGCTGGTGGGCTCGCCACTTTCGAAGGCTGCTGGTGGGTCCAGCGGAGTGAGGCCCTGCGCAGACCTGAGCGGGACCTCGCCGTCCCTGGGCGGCCATATCATGCTGTTGCTGCCCCGCCGACGTTTCAAGCTCCTTACCCACAGTCTCCTCTTGGACGTTGCGTCTTCCTTAGTGACTCAGGGGTTCACTAAGTTACTCATCGTTTCTCCCTTGATCGGGGACCTGCGAACCTTCCGAATGCCGCTCGCAGAAGTATATGCGTCCATGTCACGTCGCCGCCTTCTCGTCAAATCTCCCAAACTACTTCTGCCCCGCATTGCGCAGGGGTTGAGTACGTCGCCAGGGTATTTTTTTTGGTGGGGGGGCGCACGATTTGTCCGCTCTTGTCTTCGCTAGCGTTCGCATGACCATGCCAGCTTCACACTTCGTATTCTTTTTGCCGCAGGCGCGGACTTCCCGTACCCACGCTAGGCTCTCCCCTGGCGGCGTCTCCGGCGCCGCTCCTAATGATTGATTCCTGAGAATTGCGGAGGACTCCTAGAGATTCCAGAGGATTCCAAAGGATTCCTAGGAATTCCTAGGAACTCCTGAGGATTCTAGAAAGGATTCCTTCGGGTTCCTCAGGGTTTCTAGGGTTTCCGGAGGATTCTTAAAGATTCCTAGGGTTCTTCAGGATCCTTGAGGATTCCTGAAGAATCCTGACAATCCCGAAGGATTGCTAAGGATTCATGAAGATTCCTGAGGATTCCCAGGGATCCCCAAGGATTCCTGAGGAGGTTTCCTTAGGATTCGTAAGGATTCCCGGGGATTCCTAAGGATTCCTGAGGATTCCCGGGGATCCTAAGGATTCGTAGGGATTCCGAAGGATTCCGAAGGATTCCTGAGGATTCCTGAGGCTTGCTGAGGCTTCCTGAGGTTTCCTGGGGGTTTCTGAGGATTCCTATGGATTCTAAAGGATTCCTGAGTATTCCCGAGTATTCCCAGGGATTCCAAAAACGATTCCGATTGATTCCTCAGGATTCCTACGTATTCCTCGGGATTCTGAAGGATTCCTCGGGATTCCTCCCGGTTCAGGAGGATTCCTAAGGACTCCCAAGGATTCCGAAGTATTCCGAAAGATTCCTGAGGATTCCTGAGGATTCCTAGGGATTCCTAGGATCTCTAAGAATTCCTAATGATGTATTGGGATTCCCAAGGGCTCCGAGGGATTCCCGAGGATTCCCAAGGATTCCTAAGGGTTCCTAGGGATTTCTCAAGATTCCGGAGGATTCCGAAAGTTCCTATGGATGTCTAAGATTCCTAAGGAGTCCGAAGGATTCCTGCGGACTTTTTTGTTGTTGCGTTGTTATTAACCGAATGCCGCGGATAATAAAGTACCCCCCCCTAAGTCGTTCGAGTTTTTTTATCGTCGGCCTAGAAGGGTTTCAAATATAGGCGGAGGGCGCTGAGGCCGAACTTCATTATCACTGGGAAAGTTCGCCATCGAGGTTACTTCCTTCTTATGTTGAGATAACAACATCAAGCGACCGAGGTTATACTCTCTCTCTCTCGCTTTCTCTCTTTTTCTTTGGGTTGCTTCCTGCTTCTATCTCTCTCTCTCTCTGTCTCTCTCTCTGTCTTTCTTTCTCCTCCTCCCTCTGGCGCCCTGAACTTGTTTATCGCTGGGGTTGATTATCCTGGGAAAACATTTTAATTTTCATTAAGCGTTTACAACTTAAATCTAATAAGTTTTCAACTTTGGATTTCCTCCTGCTCTGCTTCTCCTGCTCTCCTGCTCTTCCTCCTCTCGGGCATGCCCCTAGGGCTTACCCCTAGGCCTACACCTAGGGCCTACCCCTAGGCCTACCCTAGGCCTACACGCCTAGGCCCATCCCTAGGCCTACCCTAGGCCTACCCTGAGATTTGTCGAGGATGCCTCAAGCGAAACAAGCAATGATTTCAAGGATGTCTCAAGCGACATAAGCAATAATTTGAAGATGTCTCAAGCGAAACAGACAAATATTCTGAGGATGTCTCAAGCGAAACAAGCAATTCGTTGAGGATGTCTCAACCGAGGCAAATCATTGTTGAGGATGTCTCATAGAGGACCAAAGACCAAGGATCCTCAAGATATCCTTGGCTGTTTCCTCTTGATATCTCTTTATGCTGGCTCTGGCGGGCAACTTTTATTATCTCCCCGAAAACCCCGAACTTTATTATCCCGGTGTGTTTATTATCCGCGGTATTCGGTTATTGTTGCTGTTCTAGTTGTTGCTGTTGTTGTTACTGTTGTTGTTTTTGCTGCTGTTGTTGCTGCCGCTGTTGCTGTTGTTGTTGTCGTTGTTGTTCTGTTGTTGATGCTGTTGCTGTTGCTGTTGCTGATGTTGTTGTTATTGTTGTTGTTGTTGTTGGTGTTGTGGCTGTCGTTGTTGTGGCTGTCGTTGTTGTTGCAGCTGTTGTTGTTGTTCTGCTGCTGCTGCTGCTGTTGTTGCCGTTGTTAGTGTTGTTGGTTTCGTTGTCGTTGTTGTCGTTGTTGTTGTTGTTGTTGTTGTTGTTGTTGTTGTTGTTGTTGTTGTTGTTGTTGTTGTTGTTGTTGTTGTTGTTGTTTTTGCTGTTGTTGCTGCTTCGGTTGCTGCTGTTGTTGTTGTTGTTGTTGTTGTTGTTGTTGTTGTTGTTGTTGTTGTTGTTGTTGAATTCTCTTTTTTTTGTTGACCCCCCCCTCCGGTGACCATTGTATTTTTTCATTTGAAATGCTTCCCCAGGGGCTCTCACCTTGCTTTTTATCAGGGAAAGTCACGGGGCTCAAAGAGGGCCCTTGGCCCCCGGTGTACAACAACAGCGGTTCCCGCCTGATACTTCCTGATCATTTATTTGCAAGTCGTGCTCTCGCGCGCGACTGCCTCACAATTCATGTACGCATCGCGCTTGCGTGCTGCTTGCAATTTGATCAGACGATGAACCCTCTGCGCTCAGGAATCACGCTCTCGCCTCTTTGCTTTTCTCACGATTTACTGGGGAACCGCGCTATCGCTCGAGACTTCCTCGCGATTGATGCAGGCCCAACGCTTCAGCAACCCGCCTGCTCGACCTCGTCGCCTGGGCCCGCCTTCCCGACCTGCCCGCTATGGATCTGCCCACCGGATCCGCCCGTCTGGTTCTACCACTTGTTTTCTGCTCCTTGCCCCCCTCCTGCTCATTTCTTTGGTGCTGCATTCTTCTCCTTAGGCCCTTCCACCCGTCTACTCTTACCTTGTTTTAGGGGCTGCACTACATGCACGTGGCAGGTAAGGAAGATATACCCCCTAAGGAGGTACGATCGAAGACGACGAGGGCGGGTACCGAGGGCTTGGGATATACGTATTGATTGGCACGTGACCAGATAGGAGCGAGCAGTCTTACAATGATATTGTTGTTGTTGCTGTTGTTTTTGTTTGCTGTTGTTGGTAATGTTGTTGTTGCTGTTGTTGTTCCTCCCCCTCCTGATTGACCAGGGGGGCAGCGCTGGCCACTTATTGTTGATCCTCCCCCACCGGTGCATATCTCAATCAAAGTATGTTCCTCGACGCTCGCACCCTGTTTTTTGACAGGGAAAGTCTTGATGCTCAAACTGTGCCCCTGGCCCCTGGGTTACAACAACAGCGGCTCCCGTTTGAGACTTCCTCGCAATTTAGCCGGCACCCCGCTCCCGCCCGAGACTTCCTCGCATTTTATGCAGGAATCGCGCTCTCGCTAGGGACTTCCTTACAATTAATTCAGGAATCGCTCTCCCGGCGCTCTGGAGTCGCGCTCTCCCTTCGTGTCCCCACTGTCGCCTTTCGTGGCCTACTTCGTGTCCTTCGTGGCCCTGCTGTCGTTCTCTCTCGCTCTCGCTTTCGCTCGTCGTCGTCGTCGCCGCCGTCGTCGTCGTCGTCGTCGTCGTCGTCGTCGTCGTCGTCGCCGTCGTCGTCGACGTCGTCGTCGTCGTCGTCGTCGTCGTCGTGGTCGGTCCCCTGTCCGTCCCTCTTGGTGTCGGGTCGACGGTCCGCGGCCGCCCCGCCGATCAGCGCTGCCGCTGGCCAGGCCGACGGTCCGCGGTCGCCCCGCCGCTTGCCGGGGCCCGGCCTGCAGGGACGAAAGGTATACCCGCCAAAAGGGGTTTGATCGAAGACGAAGAGGGCGGGTTTCGAGGGTTTGGTAAATACGCGTTATTCGACACTCGAGCAGATAAGGGCGAAC